TATATATTTAACGAATTGTCAACCATTTCAATATAAAAATGTACTATAACGCAGTTTATTTATAAAAAGTATAAGGTGTACTATAAATAATATTTACTTTCAAATATTTATTTCCAAAAAAATAGTGTGCTTGTTTAATTAAGGTGTAAATCCGATGCAAATACATAATATGCTACACCTACATTTCTCTCGGACCCCAGTGTACTTGAAAAAGTTTATTATCATCTGCTAAAGTGCTAATATGTTAAGTAAAAAGATACATGATCTCGAACAAGAAGCAAAAAAAGTTGACTATAACAATGTCTCAGGAATATAATTCTCAATTTTATTTTTTTTGCCAAAAAATAAATTCCTTGTTAAAAATTAGTTAGCAGTAGTTCTTTAAAGGCAACAAAGTTCAATTTTCGAGGGACGACTGTATAGGGACATCATGTGAAAATGTTAGATTAGCCTGCAATTTCGTAGTCATGATATCGGAAAAGAACACATTTCACATATACGGGGTCTGTTCAGAAAATAACTGAACTTTTTTAATTATGCGCTACTGGAGATATTTAGTGATATGCAGTGGGCAGCATTGCATTTCGCACAACCTCTTCTATAACGACACATGTTCTTGTATTGTTGATGTATTATTTAATTTGCGTGATATTGTTATTTGCTTAACTGTTAGAGATGATTTTTGAAATGTGCGATTTACTGGAACAACGATGCAAGGTAAAATTTTGCGTGAAACTGGGGAAAGCTCTCATGGAATCGTTTCAACTTTTGAAAAAAGCTTATGGAGATAACGCTTTTGGTCATACGCAATGTTACGAATGGTTTTCACAATGTAAAAGTGGTCATCAGTCAATTGAAGATAATCCTGGACAAGGAAGGCTTTCGACTTCAACTGATGATGACTCCCACGTTTAGAAAGATCAAAGATCTGGTGCATGCAAATCGCCGATTGACTGTTAGGGAAATTGCAGAAGAGGTTAGCATCGCAGTTGAGTCATGCCATGAAATTTTGACTGAAAAATTGAACATGCATCTATTTGCAACAAAATTTGTTCCTCGTTTGATGACCGAACAACAGAAAGAAAATCGTGTGGGTGGACGTTTGCCGACAACTCCTTGAATAATCTAATAGCAGTGAAATATTCATTTAAAAGATCATAACGGGAGGCCAAAGTTGGGTTTACGGCTGCGACATCATTGACACAAAAGTTTAATTATTACGACGACTCATGATATTTACGCCATGACAATGCACCCGCACACTCAGCTTTGTCAGTTTGTCAATTTTGTGCCAAAAATCAGATTACTGTCCTTTTTCACACTTCTTACTCGCCAGACCTGGCTCCTTGCGATTTTTTCTTACTTCAGAAATTAAAGTCAGTACTGAGTGGACGCTGTTTTCAAACTATTATTGATGACATCAAAGTAAATGGAAACACCGCTGGGAAAAATCTGTTAATATGGGAGAGGAGTACTTTGAAAAAGACAAGGACCAACAATGTATAAAATTTATAATAAAACTTAAAAAAATATAGTTCGGTTATTTTCTGAATTGACCTAGGTTATTGTTGCAGTTTTGCTACTAAACAGTTAGTAAGCAAAACATGTTTTTTCGTTTCTGAGATTTTGCCAGATTTTTTTTAACCTTGTAACTACTACAATGTTTAATATTGGATCAGCCAGATAAGCCAGTCTTACAATATTTTTGATGCTAAGTCTTCATCTAAATCTTGTTATATTTGCTAAAAGTCACTCTGTATAATAATTACTACCTACATGATTGATTCCAATTGTTTTATGACAATCAATTAATCTGGTTTTATTAGATTGTATTTCTTAGGTTGTTACTGTCCAGGATAGGATGACGATGCTGGAGGAAGCTGAAAGGCAGAAAAATAAACTGGCAATGGAAAGTGCGCTAAGGAAAGAAAATTTATTAAAAGCTCAAAAGCCTCAAATGGCTGTGCCAGGAAGCAAATTGGAAACGGTAATATTTTCTTAATCTCATTTAAAATATGTATATAAGTATAAAAATTATTTAAACAAATAAAAGATGATCAATGGAAATTATGGTAGATACCTATAGGGTAATATGAATAAAATGGATGTAATCCTTTTACTATAGAAAATTAAAAGATGATACTTCTAAGGAATCTATGGAAAGTGTTTATTGTTTGCTTCTTCTGGGAAGTAAATGCTCAAAGTAATATGAATAAAACCATCCTCCTCCTATTATTCCTCACATGAATTAAATGCTTCAACATTTTGGAGGTACATTCATGTGATATGACTGTCACTTATTGCAATTTATGGCAGCTTTTAAGAAAGGGAAATAAAATATAAAGAATGAAAGGAGGAAAATCTAGAACAACGAAAATGTGGAATGGATATAGGTAATCTTTTTTTTTTAAGGAGATAGCAAAGCGAGTTGAGGTGGAGCGTCAAGCTCACTACAAAAGATAAAAGTGTTTTAAGGTATGTTGGACTCAAGAAAATGCGAATATCTAGATAGTTATAGATTTTTTTATTTAATACTCGGCGTTTGAAATTTTTGCTCACTGAGTATTACGAAAGTTAAACGAGGTTTATCCAGTTATGAATTGCTAAATTCTGATGATGACATTTTATTCGATTATTTGGTGCATTGTTTGGATACCAAGGTGCTGGACTAAAAATTTTAAATGTGCATTTGAAATAAATTTGAAATAATATACCTATAGCGGTTTTATACAGGGATGGCCAGAAGTACGGAATAAAATTCATATCTTTTGAATGAGTAAATTTTTTTTAAAACGCCGAAACACGTTAACTGATTTTGATTTTTTCCCATCTTTCGGTTATATAATAATTAATTTTTCTTCAACCCCCTGACCCCTAGCTACCCCTACTTTTTTTTTCAAATGGAAACATAAGGCATGAGGGCTCGTTGATAAGCTTATAGAAAACTGAATCCAGCCATACCAAATAAACAAGTTTTATTTTTTCAATAGCAAGTTTTTTTTTTTTTCATTTAGAAATTGAAACAACTAGATAATTTGCAAAAATAAACTCAATGTCGCAAATGCTCAAAATGTCCTCCATTCACTATTTGGCATTCTCCAAGACGATAGTAAAAGCTGTCCACAGCATTCTGAATGACTTCAGCTGGTAAATTATGCATCTCCGCCCTAATCTTGTTCTTCAAATTCTCAATATTATCCGGTCTGTCCTGGTAGCCACTTACTTTCAAATATCCCCAAAGAAAATAATCCAGGGGTGTTAAGTCGGTGCATCTTGGCGGCCATTCAACTGTACCCCGTCTACCAATCCAGCGATTTGGAAACATTTCATCTAAGTATCTTCGAACATCAATACCAAATTGTGGGGGAACTTTTTGAAACCAAATTCTTTCATTCGGTATATCTGGATCAATTTCATGAGGGAAAATCACAGCTAGAGCAGATATCAGGTTAAATGTTAGGAAATCCAGGTAGCGTGCGGCAGTAAGATTTTCTTCAAAAAAGAATGGGCCCAAGATTCTGTTGTTGATGATATCTGCCCATACATTAACTTTCTGTATGCGATTCGCATGTCCAGTGTGGATTTTCTTGGGACCAAAAGCGATAGTTGTGCCTGTCCATTTAAATAAAACGTAGCTTCATCCGAAAAAAGTACGTCTCGTTGAAAACCATTATTGTCGTCACACCGTCTCATCATTTCCTCACAAAATTGTAATCGCCTCTCATAATCGTCTTCCAAAAGCTCTTGGACAAGACATACCTTATAGGGGTGGTATTTCTCTTGTTTCAGAAACATTCGAATTGCAGTTCGAGAAGCATCGTGATTGCGGGCCAATGAAACAGTTGAAGTATGAGGATTTTCAACAAGTTCTAATACAATGTCTAATTTATTTTCTTCGTTCAAAGCACGTGCCCGTCCAGTTTTGGGAAAAGTCTGTACTGTACCGTGTTCCTCAAATTTGTGAAATATTTTACTAACTGTCCATTGCGAGATTTGGTTTTCGGGATATTTCGCATTAAATAAATCGCGCACTTCAGCCTGACTTCTTACTTTGTCTCCACATCCAAGCAATATCAAGATTTCGATGCGTTGCCTTTCCGACAATACCATTGCAATTTAGTAAATAACTTGATTTTGACACAATAGTAACGTTTCAAACTCCAATTTACAACTAAAGCGAAAAATTAACCAGAAAGCCTGGCAAGTAAGTGGTACCAAAAAAACGCAACATAAAAAATATATCTTTTTTGCGTTAGCAGTGATAGGTACAATTTTAAATTCTTTATTTTATTCTGTGCAAATTCGTGGAGGATAACACTGAAGATAATTAAATTTTATTTCACTTGTTAAGTAGGTATTTTATACAACCCTAAAAACCTTGCTACTGAAATAATAAAACTTGTTTATTTGGTATGGCTGGATTCGGTTTTCTATAAGCTTTTCAACGAGCCCCCTAATGCCCTATGTTTCCTTTTGAAAAAAAAAGTAGGGGTAGCTGGGGGTTAGGGGGTTGAAGAAAAATTAATTATTATATAACCGAAAGATGGGAAAAAATCAAAATCAGTTAACGTGTTTCGGCGTTTTAAAAAAATTAACTCATTCAAAAGATATGAATTTTATTCCGAATTTCTGGCCATCCCTGTATTTATTAAGTCCCGGTACTTTGAGTCTCCGTTAAAGCTTGATCAGGTGATTAGACTGTACAGAAACTAATTTATTTTATAAAGTATAACCACAGTCTAATCGCTTGATTAGTTAATCAAACCTGAACCAAGATTCAATACTGTTTTCCCTCTACTAGGGCAACTTACCCAGACACTTAAGATGGTACGATTTTTATTACTCAAGAAAGGAAACTGAAAAACTTATGTCCTTAGGCAGAAATTAGTTATGTATAGTGACAGGTCCTTACAGGATATTATGGCTTGAGACGACACGTATGACAGAGAATACAGACTACAGAATACAGAGATAAGGCAACATAAACAGCTTATCATATCCTGTGCGAGTGTGAAGCATTAGACCACAGTCTCAGCGTAGAGTGTGGAAATAGTATTTCCTCACTCAAGGGCCTCAGTCAGGTTTTTATGGACAACCAAGTTTGGATCGAGAAAAATATCACTTCATAATAAAGCTGCGCAAATTAGTTTAAGCGGTCAGGGTACTTGAATGAGTACTAGATTGAAAATAAGAGATTCAGTACAATAACACACATTAATGAGGTACTTCTATGGGCCTAAACTATATATATTTGTGTATAGGAAATTAAACAATTTTAGAACTGGTTGTCGTTGTCGGTATTTGATTTTTCTAGGGACATATTTCCTCTTCTTCAGAAGACTTTGTATTTGCTGGGTGCACTGGCTTAAGCGTTACGGTGCATGGTTTGAAGAAATTGGTATGTGATATTCCTGTTCTGATTGGTACGAATTACCAAATTCTAGGTAGTTCTATGTCTTCGTCGTAACTGAAGTTCCATAATCGTAGTGAGAGAGAAATTTGGAAACGAGTTATACGTAACAATTAAAAACGGAAAGTCTTAGGTCAGTAATTTAAAACCATGCACCAGAATGTAATGGACTAATCGACACATAAGTATAAATATCAGCCAAAAAACTAGATCTCCAGTTTACAGAGCTTCTTCTAACGAAAATAGCGATATGTCTCTCGAAATGTCAAGATTAAATAGACGACCTGGCAACCAGCCCGGAAATTTTTCATCCATTAACAACTTGCAATCTACGTGGAATAGTTTTGACCAATAGCAATTGTGTACCATAAGCTGATTGATGTTTGAGAAGTAGGAGCAATGGTTTCCCAGAAGTTAAGAAAATGCTTTAAAGTAAAGACATTTTATTATGGATTTTTCTTTTACCTCTACCGTTTATTAGTAGTATATACTTTTACTACCTAGTAGTAGTTTTATTCATAGTTACAACTAGTAGGTATTTAATTGTAGGGTGTAATATAATGCAATGTCAAAAATTAACTTGCTATAATTTAATATTTAGACTAGACGGTATCTGTTTTGGTTTGTGTGAATCGTATATCCACGGAGATTTGTGGCTTTTTGGCTTTCAAATATCACTAGAAATTAACATTTTTCTATGCGCATAAAAAAAAAGTGGGCTTAACTTTTGGCGGCACAATATGTCGAAAAATGTCATATTTTTCTTCCTATTTAATTATGTATCTTTTCAAGAGTTGATTTTAGACGAAAATGTAAGAGGAAAAAAAAGCGGGTTTTAAAAGTTCTTGGAAAGACGCTTCCTTTAAAAAAAGAACAGATCGTTTGGTCAATTAGTTACGTAGTTATAGCCGATCAAAGTTAACCGTCATTTACACTAAATGTACTGGGACATCCGGGCTAATTTTTCGAAAAATACCTTTGGTATTCCGAGTACTTACCAGGTCTTATATTACAATACTTTTCTTCGTTGGCAACCTACTTTAAAACATGTTTAAAGTTATTTATGCAAGCGAGAAATTCAAGAAAATCGTACGGGTGGTGGTGGTCGTGGACGAAGCAGAGAGCGCGGTCGCTTCGGCCTGCTCGAAACTGAATCGGCGAGTTCAAAACCGCAATGCGCTTAAAAATGTTTAATATCTCACCTCCTTTACTTATCAACTTTATTTTTCTATTTTTAAAGGTAAGTGCATAAACTTATATTCTGTTTATCAAAGATCAAAAACAAATTTATTTAAATATTCTGAAATTGTTTAAACAACAATTATTTTCAAAATATGACGAAAATTAGTAATATAATAAGTTAATATCTCATTTGCTTATATTTTAAACAATAAATAATATTTGAATTATACTTTAATCCCAAAAAAAAAATTAATATTAAATAAAGGATCTTTCTTTCATTTCAATATATTATTTCGTATTCGAAAAATACGACCTTGAAGAAATAGATACACATATACCTGTATACCGTCAGGAAAAGAATCTCTACAACCTGTATATACAGTGTTATTTTTTTAAAACCTGACAGGCCAACTTTTTTATTTGAAGTAATAGACTAATACTTCCAAATGCAAAGTTGTAGGAAATAACTTGATTAAGAAAAATTTACAAATAATTTTTTCCGGTGTTGCCATTTAAAAAATATCGTTTTAGTAGCTACTGCAGAAATCTGGCAACGCCGGAAAGGATTATTTGTATTTTTTTTCATTTTTTTTTAAAGAAGCTGCTTTAAAAAAATTGATTTGATTGAATATTCAAAAAGTTATTCTAATTGTTTATAAGTAAAAAAATCGTGTTTAAACAAGCGCCAGAGCTCTCCTAATTGACAGATTCGAATTTTTCAAAAAAGTTTGAAAGCTTGAGAGCCCTTTTATATGTGATTAAATTTTAGTATCTAATGGCCTTGGTTTCTGATGTGCAAAATTTTGAAAATTTGCAATTTTTTTTTAAATCTGAATTGCAAAATTATTATGCAAAATCTATAGAACCGATTTTGATGAAATTTAGTGTGAAGATTCTAGATAATATGAAGTTTTCTTGAGCCAAGTATAAAGGTCCTATACCCAATTTAAATCCCCCAAAAAATCCCTAAAATGTATTGTTTTTTAACCCCATATTTGCATTCGATTTGTAACTAGTCATGTTTTGTAAAAAATTTAATTACAAATAATTTTTTCCATTTTCGCCTAAAATCAACTCTTGAAAAGATACATTAATAATAATTGGAAGAAAAATTTGACATTTTTCGAATTTTTTTAACATATTGTACCGCCAAAAGTTAAGCCCACGTTTTTTTTTATGCGCATAGAAAAAAATTTTCATTTCTAGTGATATTTGAAAGCCAAAGAGCCAAAAATCTCCGTGGATATTCGATTCACCCAAATATGGCTTTTTGAAACAGATACCGTCTGGACTTATTTCTTAAAAGCCTGAAATACATTTTTTTAGGATACAAAGTATCATTTTTTTTCCAAAAATGTTATCTCTACCTTCAGAACAACTGAATATATTGAAAAGAATTTTCTCATTTAAATTCCAACTACTAGGCTGGCTCAATAATGACAGCATACCACTGGAAAACATGTTTTTTGTAATTTTTGATATCCAAAGATGTATTAAGACTCAATGTGTCACTTTTAATCGTACCATCTTTAGAAGAAAATGTTATTTTGTACTAAAACGGTAAAAATTATTAAAAATTATTTTCGTTCGTAATTGAATTTTCGTTTTAATTTTTTTCCGTGATGTCATTATTTTTGGGGAAAATTTGATCACCGTACTTCATATCTACTGGTTTGAGTAGAGAATTCATTAAATTACCTTGCAATTTTATTTATAGATATCAATATTTATTAATTTTGTTTATTTTCAAAAACCAGGACATCAAGAGCAAATGTTTATATAATAAAATATTTTTAAATTCAAATGGAAAACGTTTCTTTAGTTTTAACATATTTAGTTTTAATATGCTATTATGTTACATCAATTATAGGAGATTGACAGTTTTCGAACCAAACAGCCCTCTAAAATGTTTTAATATTATCATCAGGTTGAAACGGAGGTTGCCAGTAAAAATCTATATCTATTGAAAAGGTCCCAAGAGTTGATTATTGAGCAAGACGATCGGGTAAAAGCGGCCAATGGGGTTATATTGGCAGCCAAATGTCGTGCTATCCGTAATGCCCAAATTGCGGAAAAGAAGGTATCAGGATCGCTCTAAAGATGATGTCTATATCTAACCCTACACCAACATTTTCAGTTGATTGAAAAGCAGTTACAAGAGGAAAACAAGAGACTAGACATGATGATGGAGCAGCAAAGACAGAAGAAGATACTAGTCGAAGAGCAAAAGAGAGAGTTAGATAAGAAGAAAATGGAAAGGTGATTAAATTTATTGTTGAAAATAATCTTTTGAATATATTTAGGTAGGTAATGCTTGGCGAAATTTTAAAGGTGATTCTACGTCACAAACATAAACAATAGTAAAAAGATTGATATACATACTTAAACATGTGTCTGCAAGTGTTTCATTTACAAGGTACAATATGTTAAAGTTTCGAAGAAGAAATTACATATTTTCAATAAATTTAAAAAAAAACAGAACAACTGTAGCGATTTTATTCAAATCTTGTAAGCATATATAGGTAACTTTGGTTTTAATTTTACTAACTTACGTAAATGTCACAGTTTTCTTACATGCAGGGCATGCGAATGGACTATGCTTCAAAGGTTATCCTTGAGTGAGAATAAACCGCTTAAGATAAGTTTACCTTAATACAATTTTGACTCCTTAAAATAAATATTATTTGATTTTTTTTTTAATTAACTTAATCTCTTTAAAATATATTTCTTAAAATTTGGTATTGAGGTTTTTGGAGCAGGCGAATATCAATATGAACTTTATTTATGGTCGCTAAGAACATCTTCTGTGTATTTCGTTTTAGGCTAAAAAAATGTTTGTGCATAGATTCTGATAAAACAGATGTTTCTTCAAACATCACTTTATTTATGTTGAAAAATGTATACTTGTTGCTTGTCGCTAAATGCAGCGTTTGGGAGAAAAATGAATTTAATTTTTTTACTGTAGTAATTATTTTCAGAATCTTTCTAGTTTTCCTTTCGATAAGGGAGCTATTCACAATTTTTCATACTGTTTCCGTAGAAACTTTTTATTTAACCGTTTCTTCAACACTTTTCCTTTTACCGAACTTTTCACGTTCAATGTGAGTGAATATACATTTTTGTCTAAAACGATATATTCACAACAATTGAAATAACAAATTTTGCCAGAATCTCTTCTATTTTTCATCTCGTCAGAAACATTATAATTATAAATTGGCTTTCTCTTGATTTTTAAGACGTAGTTCATAGATAAAGTGCTTTTTTGTTTAGGCTTTTTTTTAAGTAGGTAAATGAAATATAGCCCTTTAAAGATGAATTGCAAGTATCATATTTTTTGCGATATCTAGAAAAATTTTCGGGATATATATTGTAGATATTTTGAACTTATTTACGCAGTGTTATTAAAATGTCGCGTAAGAGGCGGTTTTCAAGAGTTACTATAATAATTTCAATCCCTCTTCTACTTTTACCCGTTATAAAAAATGCTTCGATAATATTGATATCTAGACTACCAAGGAAATAAAGGTGTTCGAACCATTTTCGAGAACTTCAGATCTATATGTTAATTCGCGTTTATAAAATTTTTTCAGCTGCATGCTTAAAAATGGCACTACTTTTAAACAATGTTCGGAAACAAGTACCTTGGTTGCGTTAATGCTTGAAAATAGTTTAAATTTGTTTTTGAAATAGAAATAATTTCAGTATAATTTCAAGAAAATATTTGAAAATTAAAATATGTCTTACAATTAAATTTTGCGATAACACAACTACGCAAGTACTTGCTTTATGAAAATTATACAAAATGTGTGACAATTCAAAGTCTATGTGTACCATATTGATAAATTTATTATTAGGCTTAAATGACTTCTTGCAGGTAGAGTTGAAATTCTCGAAAAAAATTTGATTTATCGGAATTAAGCAAGAGTAGCATTTTTTATAATTTATAACAACCTCGTAAAATACCTAAGCAATTGCATCAGGCACATGTTTATATAATTTTTTTAAATTTGTATTGAAGAATTGATCATTAAATATTCGCCATTCAATTTTTTTTAGTTATCGCCAAGATTTAAATGCTATTTTTCGCACCCACAGTAACTCTACTCTACATTCAACCACAAACCTCCTAACACCATAACCATATAATCCGATAGTAGTTCGATTTAATCCCTCATCACGGGATATGTCAGGGCTCTATAAACAGAATATATTTAACCCTATAATCTCCCAACCTCCTAATTTGGATTCGGATTCAGCTACCCCGAAAACATGCTGTAGACATAGTCGAACCTCCAGACTCGAAAAACGGTTTTTTGTGTGTGGCTGTGGAATTTTTTCTTTTCTGTGCGTTTTACCACAATGCAAATTAAAAAAATAATAAATAAGCTCTTACACCACAGGGATCAGTAGAAAAATACATTTCTTAAAACAACCTCTAATTTGTCTAGGAGTATTTGTTTCGAACTGTAGTAAAACACCTAACCTAGCACAACTGCTGAGATATTTTTCATGTCACGATTATTTTGATACGACCATTGAGTCTCTTATTTCCGTTTTTCATTTTTTTAGTGAAATCATAGAGTTTTTTTCTAATACAATATTTTTAAATTTAGATATACAGTGGAAATCAAACAGCAAATAAAAGAAAATGAACTGAATCGTCTCATGGAAGCAGAAATAATTGAGGAGGAGAGTAAAATGTTAAATAAAGCGTTAATCCAGATGCAAAAGGAAGAGCAGCAGAAAGAATTGGCGAAGAAGGAATTGCAAGCTCAAATGCGTGAGGAGTTTAAGAAGGCGAATATCGATGTTGAAAATTATAAACTCCTCAAGCAGGAAGAGCAGAGGATTGCCGATATGAGAGTGCGTATTTCAAAATATTATTATTATTATTATTATTATTATTATTATTATTAAGAACTGCAGTAGGCTACTGTTTGTAATAGATTTATGTTTGCCTTTAAAAGGTCACATTCAGAAGTAGAAGTTGACAACGAAATCATCATATCATTGCATTAATTTAGGATAATAAATGGCACGTCTTTCGAACGTTTAGTATACAAGGTATCCGGAAAGATCATGTCAAAAATGAGTAGGTGTACAAAGGAGCTCTAAATAATTGTAATACTTCATAATTTTTTTTTCCTATCGGGCTTNATAGATAGATAGATAGATAGATAGATAGATAGATAGATAGATAGATAGATAGATAGATAGATAGATAGATAGATAGATAGATAGATAGATAGATAGATAGATAGATAGATAGATAGATAGATAGATAGATAGATAGATAGATAGATAGATAGATAGATAGATAGATAGATAGATAGATAGATAGATAGATAGATAGATAGATAGATAGATAGATAGATAGATAGATAGATAGATAGATAGATAGATAGATAGATAGATAGATAGATAGATAGATAGATAGATAGATAGATAGATAGATAGATAGATAGATAGATAGATAGATAGATAGATAGATAGATAGATAGATAGATAGATAGATAGATAGATAGATAGATAGATAGATAGATAGATAGATAGATAGATAGATAGATAGATAGATAGATAGATAGATAGATAGATAGATAGATAGATAGATAGATAGATAGATAGATAGATAGATAGATAGATAGATAGATAGATAGATAGATAGATAGATAGATAGATAGATAGATAGATAGATAGATAGATAGATAGATAGATAGATAGATAGATAGATAGATAGATAGATAGATAGATAGATAGATAGATAGATAGATAGATAGATAGATAGATAGATAGATAGATAGATAGATAGATAGATAGATAGATAGATAGATAGATAGATAGATAGATAGATAGATAGATAGATAGATAGATAGATAGATAGATAGATAGATAGATAGATAGATAGATAGATAGATAGATAGATAGATAGATAGATAGATAGATAGATAGATAGATAGATAGATAGATAGATAGATAGATAGATAGATAGATAGATAGATAGATAGATAGATAGATAGATAGATAGATAGATAGATAGATAGATAGATAGATAGATAGATAGATAGATAGATAGATAGATAGATAGATAGATAGATAGATAGATAGATAGATAGATAGATAGATAGATAGATAGATAGATAGATAGATAGATAGATAGATAGATAGATAGATAGATAGATAGATAGATAGATAGATAGATAGATAGATAGATAGATAGATAGATAGATAGATAGATAGATAGATAGATAGATAGATAGATAGATAGATAGATAGATAGATAGATAGATAGATAGATAGATAGATAGATAGATAGATAGATAGATAGATAGATAGATAGATAGATAGATAGATAGATAGATAGATAGATAGATAGATAGATAGATAGATAGATAGATAGATAGATAGATAGATAGATAGATAGATAGATAGATAGATAGATAGATAGATAGATAGATAGATAGATAGATAGATAGATAGATAGATAGATAGATAGATAGATAGATAGATAGATAGATAGATAGATAGATAGATAGATAGATAGATAGATAGATAGATAGATAGATAGATAGATAGATAGATAGATAGATAGATAGATAGATAGATAGATAGATAGATAGATAGATAGATAGATAGATAGATAGATAGATAGATAGATAGATAGATAGATAGATAGATAGATAGATAGATAGATAGATAGATAGATAGATAGATAGATAGATAGATAGATAGATAGATAGATAGATAGATAGATAGATAGATAGATAGATAGATAGATAGATAGATAGATAGATAGATAGATAGATAGATAGATAGATAGATAGATAGATAGATAGATAGATAGATAGATAGATAGATAGATAGATAGATAGATAGATAGATAGATAGATAGATAGATAGATAGATAGATAGATAGATAGATAGATAGATAGATAGATAGATAGATAGATAGATAGATAGATAGATAGATAGATAGATAGATAGATAGATAGATAGATAGATAGATAGATAGATAGATAGATAGATAGATAGATAGATAGATAGATAGATAGATAGATAGATAGATAGATAGATAGATAGATAGATAGATAGATAGATAGATAGATAGATAGATAGATAGATAGATAGATAGATAGATAGATAGATAGATAGATAGATAGATAGATAGATAGATAGATAGATAGATAGATAGATAGATAGATAGATAGATAGATAGATAGATAGATAGATAGATAGATAGATAGATAGATAGATAGATAGATAGATAGATAGATAGATAGATAGATAGATAGATAGATAGATAGATAGATAGATAGATAGATAGATAGATAGATAGATAGATAGATAGATAGATAGATAGATAGATAGATAGATAGATAGATAGATAGATAGATAGATAGATAGATAGATAGATAGATAGATAGATAGATAGATAGATAGATAGATAGATAGATAGATAGATAGATAGATAGATAGATAGATAGATAGATAGATAGATAGATAGATAGATAGATAGATAGATAGATAGATAGATAGATAGATAGATAGATAGATAGATAGATAGATAGATAGATAGATAGATAGATAGATAGATAGATAGATAGATAGATAGATAGATAGATAGATAGATAGATAGATAGATAGATAGATAGATAGATAGATAGATAGATAGATAGATAGATAGATAGATAGATAGATAGATAGATAGATAGATAGATAGATAGATAGATAGATAGATAGATAGATAGATAGATAGATAGATAGATAGATAGATAGATAGATAGATAGATAGATAGATAGATAGATAGATAGATAGATAGATAGATAGATAGATAGATAGATAGATAGATAGATAGATAGATAGATAGATAGATAGATAGATAGATAGATAGATAGATAGATAGATAGATAGATAGATAGATAGATAGATAGATAGATAGATAGATAGATAGATAGATAGATAGATAGATAGATAGATAGATAGATAGATAGATAGATAGATAGATAGATAGATAGATAGATAGATAGATAGATAGATAGATAGATAGATAGATAGATAGATAGATAGATAGATAGATAGATAGATAGATAGATAGATAGATAGATAGATAGATAGATAGATAGATAGATAGATAGATAGATAGATAGATAGATAGATAGATAGATAGATAGATAGATAGATAGATAGATAGATAGATAGATAGATAGATAGATAGATAGATAGATAGATAGATAGATAGATAGATAGATAGATAGATAGATAGATAGATAGATAGATAGATAGATAGATAGATAGATAGATAGATAGATAGATAGATAGATAGATAGATAGATAGATAGATAGATAGATAGATAGATAGATAGATAGATAGATAGATAGATAGATAGATAGATAGATAGATAGATAGATAGATAGATAGATAGATAGATAGATAGATAGATAGATAGATAGATAGATAGATAGATAGATAGATAGATAGATAGATAGATAGATAGATAGATAGATAGATAGATAGATAGATAGATAGATAGATAGATAGATAGATAGATAGATAGATAGATAGATAGATAGATAGATAGATAGATAGATAGATAGATAGATAGATAGATAGATAGATAGATAGATAGATAGATAGATAGATAGATAGATAGATAGATAGATAGATAGATAGATAGATAGATAGATAGATAGATAGATAGATAGATAGATAGATAGATAGATAGATAGATAGATAGATAGATAGATAGATAGATAGATAGATAGATAGATAGATAGATAGATAGATAGATAGATAGATAGATAGATAGATAGATAGATAGATAGATAGATAGATAGATAGATAGATAGATAGATAGATAGATAGATAGATAGATAGATAGATAGATAGATAGATAGATAGATAGATAGATAGATAGATAGATAGATAGATAGATAGATAGATAGATAGATAGATAGATAGATAGATAGATAGATAGATAGATAGATAGATAGATAGATAGATAGATAGATAGATAGATAGATAGATAGATAGATAGATAGATAGATAGATAGATAGATAGATAGATAGATAGATAGATAGATAGATAGATAGATAGATAGATAGATAGATAGATAGATAGATAGATAGATAGATAGATAGATAGATAGATAGATAGATAGATAGATAGATAGATAGATAGATAGATAGATAGATAGATAGATAGATAGATAGATAGATAGATAGATAGATAGATAGATAGATAGATAGATAGATAGATAGATAGATAGATAGATAGATAGATAGATAGATAGATAGATAGATAGATAGATAGATAGATAGATAGATAGATAGATAGATAGATAGATAGATAGATAGATAGATAGATAGATAGATAGATAGATAGATAGATAGATAGATAGATAGATAGATAGATAGATAGATAGATAGATAGATAGATAGATAGATAGATAGATAGATAGATAGATAGATAGATAGATAGATAGATAGATAGATAGATAGATAGATAGATAGATAGATAGATAGATAGATAGATAGATAGATAGATAGATAGATAGATAGATAGATAGATAGATAGATAGATAGATAGATAGATAGATAGATAGATAGATAGATAGATAGATAGATAGATAGATAGATAGATAGATAGATAGATAGATAGATAGATAGATAGATAGATAGATAGATAGATAGATAGATAGATAGATAGATAGATAGATAGATAGATAGATAGATAGATAGATAGATAGATAGATAGATAGATAGATAGATAGATAGATAGATAGATAGATAGATAGATAGATAGATAGATAGATAGATAGATAGATAGATAGATAGATAGATAGATAGATAGATAGATAGATAGAT